CGGGGTGCGCGTCTCGGTCCCGCGGCGGCGGCGGCGGCGGCGGAGGAGGAGGAGGAGGAGGCGGAGGCGGAGGCGGCGGCGGCGGCTGCTGCTTACGGCGGCGGCAGGACGAGCCGAGAGGCTCAGCCATATTTGATGGTTTTGTTGCTTTGCTTGGGAGTTATCGGGAGTAATTTAATGCCGAAGGTTGCTGCCTAGTGGAAATAATATAGTACGTCATTAATATGGCGCCAAAAGATTGGGTTGTGTATCTGTAGCGAGGGAGGGAGGGAGGGAGGCGACCAGAGCGCAGCGTGACTATCCCACCAGTAACTTGGGCTTGCCGGGGCGGGGGCCGGAGGAGGAGGCCAGGATGATTTGGGGGTCCTGAGAATTGATCTATGTTGGATCAGTAAGTTTTATTCTGATTATTATTTTCAATTTTTTGGGGGGATGTAGAGGTTTTTAATGTGTGGAGAATATGAGGTTTTCAGGTTAATCATCAAACGTATCAGTAGCAGAAACCCAGTTTATAGATAGAAAAGCCAAAGTGCTAACGTTAGACTGCATGAAAGTGGAAAGCATAGTAGCAACTTGGTAGACAGATGGCAATGGCAGAACGCAGGTTCGCGTACATACATGAATCCAGAGTGTGTGACAGTGTGTGGGGGAAGGAGGATATGTTTTTCCAAACATAGGTGTGAGTAGGTACATCTATGTGGAGTGGTCGCAGCCCTAGCTCTTCTTACCGCGTCACCACACGTCCAAAATATTCATTGCATCGATTCAAGGGCAGTGAGAAGCGGGTGAACGAACAGCTTGGCAATTAGATTCTTCCAGAATAGGTTTCCAATGATGAAACCTTTTACTTATAGCGAGGCCGCTTGTAAATCGTAAAAGCCTTAATCGGTGAAATTGGGAAGGAGTTACGTTGGTAGAGCAAAACACCTATTAATCCTGAATTTAAAACGGATTGCAAATTGCAACCTCTGGCACCGTTTGCAGATTGCGGGGGTGGGGTCTATGAGTCTCCGTGCTGCCTTAATGCACACGCACAGCGGTGTGTACCGCGGGACTTCAAGTTGCAAAACCCTTCCCGGTGCACGTGTCTTGTGCCTGTGAGTGTGTTTGCGAGTTGGGTGCTGTTGTTCGGTAGTCAGCAGGCTTTGCGGGTTGGCTTCGGGGATGGCTTACAAATGTGGGAGAGGGATGGAAGATAGAATGTTGACCAGGGAACCGAATCCTGTCGGAACGGTCCTATTTGTTGGAGAAATTCGATCCCTTCCACCTCCTGCCCGCTCCTGCCCGCTCCCCCGCCTCCCTGCCCGCCTTCGGGTAGGGAGGCGGGGCCGAGGACGCGGCTGCTGCTCAAAGTGGCGGAGCGCGGCGGCGGGAGGCAGGTGCACGGCCCCCGCGGTGGGGGTGCCTCAACTTCCGCGGGCGTTTAAATAGCAGCCTCTCTCCCCTCCCACCGGTAATAGGTGACCTGGCGGCCGCGGGCGGCGGGGGAAAAGGGACCGAGGGACGTCCAGGCGGGAACCTCTGCTGCACGTGGGCAGGTGCTGGCTGGCCTCGGGGCCAACTTTTGCAGCCCGCGTTCCGGAGTAGGCAGAGGGGCGGCGCGGCGTGGAGATGGGCCCCGCGGCGGCCCCGGCACCGTTCCCTGGCCGTCGCCTAACGGTCCCAGGCGCACCGCGCCCGGGTGGGGGCGTTGGTGGATACGCCGGGCCCTTCTCCGCGCCGCGGGAGCCCCTCACAAAGCCCGCGGCGCGGGGAGGCCGCCGCCCCAGGAGCTGCCGGCAGCCGGGCTCCGTCTCTGGCGGGCGGCAGCAGACGTTTGTTTGTTGCTTGCGCGCCGCCTTCCGCGCCGGATGGCTTCCTGTGACAGAGGTGATCCACAGTTTCCAGAACTTTCGGGGGGCGGGAGCGCGAGCCGAGCCCGCCCCGGGCTGCGCTGCCGCTCGGCTGCTTCGGCCGGCCGGGCCCGCGGGGGTCGGCGCGGCGGTTTGCAGCGGCGCAAGTGGCATGCGGACGCCGGGGAGCGTTTGATTTGCAACTGGGGCCGAGCGGGTTGGTGCAGCTAGCGGTGGCGGCGGGAGATGGCCACTTTCAAACACGGGACCACGGCGGGGACGCGGGACGGGTTCGGCGCCGGGGAGGAGGTGTCATCTGCACACCGGCGCCGGTTCTGGCCGGAGAGGTGGGAGTTACTTTCCCCTCCTCCCGCGCTGTTGTTCCTGTCGCCTCGGGAGGAGCGAGAGCGCGAGGGGGCGGCGCCGCGCGGAGCAGGGCCCTGCGCACAGTGGGCGGGAGGCCGGCAGGGATGCCCGCGCCTGCGGCCGGCGGCCCCACCCCAGAGTCGCTGCCCCGGCTCCCCACCCGGCTTCCCTGGTATGAGACCCTCCTCCACCGGCCCGGATCCCACCGTCTCCCGCGGTCGTCGACTCCCGGCTCCCCACCATCTGGGCCCCTCGGTCCCGGATCCTCCTATCCTCGCGGAGCTCACCACTTTCCACCCTCAGAGCTTTCCTCTGCTGGGCTTCCCACTTTCCGACCCCTCAACCATGGGTCCCGGGGCCCTCATCTCAGCTCCCACCTCCCCAGCATCCTGCCCTGGGTTTCCGATTTTGACTTCCCTCGGCTTTCCGCTTCCCCCTCCCCTTAGAACTCCCCCCCCCCGCGTTGTTTCTGGGCTCCCCATCCTGACTCCCCTCCGAGGCCCCGGCTTCCCAGGCTCCTTATCCTTGTACCCTGGCGGAGGGATTCCCACCCGGGCTCCCCCTTCTGGGAACGCGGGGGCGGCCCATGAATTGCTTTGAGCAAACAAAAAAAGCGGGCGATTTAAACGTTCCTTAGAAACCCGTTAGGAACCCGTTAGGAACGAGTAGTCGCCGGGAGACGGTTTAAAAGCAGCTTCAGGTGCCTTTCTAGAAACTAGGAGGGGAGGGTCTTACGCCCCTCCGTTGATCTGAACCTGGAGGGGATTTAATAAATCTTTTTGTAAAATGTTAGTTGCAGTGAACAACTTAGCCGACTTAGCCGCGGAGCTCGGCTTTCATGGTCATGGAAGGGGATCTGAGGCTCCCATTCCTCGGCCTGCTAAGGCGGTTCTTTACAAAGAGGTTCCTTAGATGAATTTACCCTTTTTCTGATGCCTGCTGTGAGGTAACTCTCTAGCTGCTTGTTGCTCAAGGCTAATACCTTTCAGAGCTAAAGAACTAGTTTTAAGATTCAGGAAATAATTTCCCTGAAGGCTGATGTAGTATAGTGGTGCACCAGTGGTTAGAGATTTTTCAGAAAGTTGCATTTCGATCTGCTCACACTAGTTAGGATTTAATGATTTGTAGATGGAGAAAAGAAAGGTTCGCTGAAACCACACTTAAAAAAACACGGGATGTAGCATCCAGCCACTTCTGCACTTCTGGGTGTAAGTGCACCTCATGACTGTACCCAAAGATAACCACTGTATCCCTTTACAGATAATTTTTTTAAATCAAAATAAGGTTGTAGTATACACTCATACCTGCGTGCCACCCCCCCCCCTTTCTCCCACCTATCTTGGTAAACAGTCACATTGATTTCTAGGGCATGTTCCAATCTCCCCATTTGACTCTAGTGTCTTAAGATCAACTTTCTCTAAATCAGCGGCACTTCAGGCCCTTCAAGGACCATTCGTTGCATCTGGTTGTTTTCTTTAAGTAGATTCAAGACCTTTGAGGAAGCACTGGACATTGAGCAGGCAAGCCTTTGGTAATAAAGTTAATTGACTTAAAACAGTTAAACCAAGGTAGTGTTTATTTTAGTTTGAAATCATAGATTTGGAGATCATCTGTTTGGAAAACACTGCAAGGAACAATGTGGCTGTCTGGGTGTATTTATCCACAGATTGTTGGGGAATGAGTTTTCACAAGTTTGTTTCAGTTGTGAGGTGGCTGAAACAAGCTTGAAGCTCTCAGATGCAGATCTCATCAGGGCTGGGAGTGAGGAGGAGGCCTATGATGCGTTCCTTGCTTCTGTTCCTGTTGGTGAAGGTCTTCCTTGTGGTTTAGTAGTGTGGGCATCTGTTACAACATTACAATCAGTGGTCTGTCAAAGTTGTCACAAAAATCCAGTTTTCCCACAAGGTTTGCAGAGCGGATGTCCTCTGGAAGACACTGGAACACTGAAGAAAGAACATCTTGCTTCTGGTCTGAATTGGCATTGAGAGGTTTGACTTGATAACTATGGCGTGTTCTAACCATCTCTCCTTGTCCGAGTTTCTACCTTAGGAAACTAGTGCCTTGTTCCTCTTTTACTCCCCTTTTCTCCACAGTGGCTGTTTGCTTGGAAGCCTTCATTTTTTTTTTTTTTTTTGTCTTTTCGAGACAGGGTCTCCCTGTAGCCCCAGCTGTCCTGGAACTCACTATGTAGACCAGGCTGGCCTCGAACTCACAAAGATCCGCCTGCCTCTGCCTCCCAAGTGCTGGGATTAAAGGCGTGTGCCACCAGGCCCGGCTTGCCTTCATTTTTTTATAGAAGCATTGACAACACTAATCAAAGTATTTTAATTGCTGAGATTGGTATACTGTTTTATTGTTTCCCTGAAAGTTTTATGGCCCTATTTATTTCGTACATTTTCGAGGTCTTCCAGCCTTCTCCTCATGTATTTAAATTTAGGGTTGGGTGAGTATGCATGCAGCCTTAGGCTCAGCAAAAAAAGTATGAATGGTTATTTTATTTTGTTTCATTTTTTTCTCCCTCTGCTGGGATTGAACCCAAGGCCTTTTGCACTGAAACAAATTCCTAGGCCCTAGTATTTTTGTGTTTGTGGAGTATAATCCTAGATTGAGATTTAGTTGAAAGAATCTTCTCATTTCTCCGATGTTCTTTTCATCCTGAAACTTAGGTCTGTGGTGAAGAAGGTGTATGTTTTGATTTTTTTTTTTTTTTTCAGTCGTTTCAGTTGGTGGCTCCGATAAAATGAGTTTCTCAGCCTTCCTCCTAAATGCACACAGGGTCCTAGAGGGCCTTTTGATTTGCAAGTGAAAGTGACACTCAACTTTAGCGGGTGGATGCTACACATTTGCCAAGAAGGCTTTTCTATTTTCTAGCCCAAGGCTTGAGTGATAAAGAAGTTTTTACTCACCCAAAGCTGCAGAATGATTACCAGACTTGGAATGAACAGCTCTGTACTGTTTCCATTTTTTAAATCATTTAGTAACTCTAGACCTATAGTGTGCACTATGTATTCAACAAGTAGTAGTTGTTTTTCTGCAGTGTTGGGGATAGGTCCACGGTTTCTTGTGTGCCAGGCAGTGTTCTGTCACTGAGCTGTACCCATAACTCTAACACCAAAGTTTACTATAGAACTAAGGACTATTATTTGGTTTTTTGCTTTTGGCTCTTCAAGTAGAGTTAAGATATAGAGTAAGGCGATTGAGGATAAAGTAAATTTATTTTTAAATTACTTTAAAGTTTCCATGCTGGAGTTTGAACCCAGAGTCTCACACATGCTAAGTATTCCCTCTGTCACTGAGCTACATCCCTTAAGTTATTATTTATCTTTTTGCGACAGGGTCTCCCTATAGTCCTAGCTGACCTGGAACTCACTCTGTAAATCATGTGCTCCTTGTTTATTTTTAAAACTTCCTGTTCTTTTGGGCCATTTGTTGAGGAAATTAAAACTATAGTTTGCTGTTAATGAAGCACCCAATTAGTAAGTTTAAACAGTACCCATCACTGACTCTTCCACTGGAACTTCTGTTAACAAAGACCATTTCTGTACAGTTATATGAAGTGACAATTCAGTGGTGAGGATTCAAGCTGAGGAACACATTGGGTAGTTTTAACTTCCTTCTTACTCAAGGGTAAAAGAGCAAGAAATACAGGGGCTGGAGAGATGGCTCAGTGGTTGAGAACATTGGCTGTTCTTGCAGAAGACCCAGGTTTGAATCCCAGCACCCACATGGCAGCTAACAACTGTCTGAAATTCCAGTTCCAGGGGATCCAACGGCCTCTTCTGTCCTCCTCGGGCATTGCACGACATGGGTGCTCTTATCTACATGCAGGCAATACCTGCATACACATAAAATAAAAATAAAATATTTTAAAAAAAGCAAGAAATACAGCAAAGTTAGTAAGCTCCTTGAGGCTGAACTGCCTGTTTTGCTTTTTACCACAGAGAACACTTCAATTTAAGTTTTTCTTCATTATATATGGTTCTCTCAAGTATGGGACTGTAGTGATGCACTAAGATGTGGGGGCTGAGGTCTGGTGGGTCGTGACCTTTAAAGTCCAGGTTGTTCTTGAGATCTGAAACCCCTGACTAACCCCTAACCCCCAGGGTAAGCTGTACCTGGCATTTGCATGTTATTTCAGGGATTCATGAGGATTCCCTTAAGTGCATTGTATTAGTCACTTTTCTGTTGCTGTGATAGAAACACTGACCCGAGCAACTTATAGAAGGAAGAGTTTATTTGAACTTACGATTCCAGGGAAATTACAGTCTGTCATGGCAGGGAGACCTGGTGGCTGGAGGTGGCTGGAGCAGGAGCAGCAGGAGCGAAGCTCTCACATCATCACACAGGCACAGGAAGCAAGAGAAACGGGAGATCTGGCAAGGCTTAAGAACTCTCTAAGCCCACCCCCCCAGTGATGTGCTTCCTCTAGGATAGCGATACCTTCTAAAACCTCCCAAAACAGTGCCATCATCTGGGGACAAAATGTCCAAATAGTTGGAGCCTATGGGGGACATTTTCATTCAAACCACCACATGCGTCTTGGGATTCTAGTTAAGTATTTAAATTCTGGCAACTTCTTTCTATGAGTCTTCTCTCTGATTAATTAGCTGTCACCGTTAGCCATGTGTTACTGCATTGCTGCCCGTAATACTTATTTTTCTGTTATTAACT